GTATATATGCGATACTTACAAAGTCTGAAGAACAATCACACGTGCAGTCCAATACGGTAAAGAGAGTAATTTGTTCGCACTTTGCAAGCTCGTCCTCTTCTTCCTTCCGCTCTCTTCTCTTTCACTCTTCCTTCTCTTCTCGTTAGAAACGAGCTCGAAAAGAAGTAGAAACGATAGAAGATACGCTGAACAGAGTATCGAAGTATACATTTAATGATAATAAAATTTTAATAGAATCAAACTCTATTAAATACCAGTGATCTGATATTTCTGTACTTCATAACACTTTTTCGAGAAACGTATGAAAACTCGATTCTGTTCTTTCGAGCAGAAATTCGCAGCAGCAACAATGCCTGCGATTATATTTACGACTGCGGCGTTCCTAAATTTATTCGTATCTGAAAAGTAGTCGACGATCGATGTAATTGAATCGCAGTAGAGGAGGAGGGACGCGCGCCGGGGTCAATCACGAAACGAATCGGCCGCACGACGTGCAACGTTTCGAGCAGAACCGCGAAACTCGCGGGGTATAATAACGGTAGCAATGACGATCGATCGATATACCTATGGATAAACGGAATACTCTCGTTGCAGGACATGTCCGACGTGTGCGTCGGTACCAGCGTGGGGACTATCACCGAGCCGGAATGTTTGGGACCTTGCGAGCCTGGGACGTCGGTGACTCTCGAGGGGATAGTTTGGCACGAGACAGAAGGAGGTAAGTTCATCGTTGCCCGTCTTGAAATTTCACGAGGAATTGATTGAGTCGCGTGGTTGCAGGTGTACTGGTGGTGAACGTAACGTGGCGGGGGAAAACGTACGTGGGTACGTTACTGGACTGCACTCGTCACGATTGGGCGCCGCCGAGATTCTGTGACTCTCCGACCAGCGACCTCGACGCAAGGACACCGAAGGGTCGGGGCAAGAGGGGCAGAGCGGCGGCAAACGCAACACCGGGCAACGACCTGAGCAACTTCACGGAGACGAGGAGCTCGGTGCACAGTAAACTGCGAAATGGTGGCGCGAAAGGTCGTCGTGGCGCGCAAGGTTCGCCGGCAGCGAGTCCGAGTCCTGCCGCGTTCGTCCCGCCACGACCGGATCCAGCGGCAAAGAGGAAATCCAGAGGTCCCGAGGAAGAGGACAAAAATAAGAGGCGAGCTCCTCCGCCTACGCCGCCGAGTGGTTCGCCGCCGGCCAGTCCGGTATTACTTGAATGCCCGGAACCGAACTGTAACAAAAAGTACAAACACATAAACGGGCTCAAGTATCATCAGAGTCACGCGCACGGCTCGGCGGACGACGACGACACGAAGGAAGGCATCACCAGTATGTCCGAGAACGACGAGAGCAATATCGAGGCCCCGAGTCCGGCGACACCAGTCAAGTCGCCGGCAGACAAACCCGAGGGAACGCCACTCCGGCCGGCTAGTCCTCCGACGGCCGGCTTACCCCCCGAAACGCCGCCTCCTCCGCCCCGTGTCACCTCCCCGAGCATAGAATCATCACCCGCGTCCGTGCTCACGTCGGAAAGTAGCAAGAGCATCGTGAAACCGGGTGTGCTGAGATTTGGCCAGGAAGATTTGCCCGCGCCGTCCTCGACGATACCAACCTCGGCGAGGCAGCAACAACAACAACAGGCCGCGCAACAGCAGCAACACCAGCAACAGCAGCAGCAGCAGCAGCAGTCGAACCAATTGGGTGGTTCGAACTCGCCTCCTAGTCCGAGTCCTCGAACTAGTCAGTCGCCGAGATCGGTACCTTCGCCTCACCCGAGTGCAAACATTCCGGCTCCGTTGAATATTCCTCAGCCGCCACAGCCGTCCCAATTGTCGCAGCACTCGCAGCAAACGAATCCCCTTCTACAACCGAGTCAACAATCGTTGCAGCCTGGCCAACCGGGGCCACCGCCTCCGCCGCAATCCAGTCAACAATTGCAGTCGTCTATTCAACAACAGCAGCAACAACAACAGCAGCAGCTGCCACCTGCTCACCAATTGTCCGTGCAGCATTCGTTGTCGGCGCAACTCGGTCAGCCAACGCAGGCTCACGTGGTGCAACAGGCTGGACTGCAACAACAGCAACAGCAGTCGCAGCCGAGCGGATTGCAAGGTATCGCAAGCCAACATCCGGCCCTTCAAGGTCTCTCTAGCCAAGTGTCGCAGCAAGCGGCAGGTCTGCAAGCACCCGTCTCGTCGCAACAACCCGGCCACCCAGGACAGAGTGTGCAAGCACACTTGCAACCCTATCAGAGCGTGTCGTTGCACGCGAAGATGCCACAATTCAAGGTTAAACCTACTGCGGCTCTGATGCCCGACCAGGACAAGAACAAGGATCCGAGGACGTCGTCGAAACCTCAGGGATACAAGAAGAAGTCGAGGAAGTCGCCGGGTGGCAGCCCACATCCATCGCCGTTGGAACCGCCGATTGTCGACGCGGCACGAGAAGACGTGCAAAGCCCGGCCTACTCGGACATCTCCGACGACGCGGCACCGATGCTCGAAGCGGAGCCGGCCGACAAATCGAAACAGAGCCAGGAGAAGGACGGGAAAGCGGCGGCGAGCGCGCATCTACCGGCTCATTTCAACATGTATCCGTATTATGGCCAACCCCCTTACCTCGTGCCGAGCGTTCCTGAGAGCAAACCGGTCGATCAAAAGCCGAGCGATCTCACTCCGAAGCAAGAAATGAAGCCGCTCAACATACCGCAGATGCCGACGCTAGCCAGCCTGCAGAGCGTCGTAGCGGAGAAGGAAAAGAAGGAATTGAGTCAGTCGGTGCCACAACCGCAGCCTCAACAGCCCCACTATTACGGCGGCTATGGCGGTTACATGCCGCCCGGTTATCCGTATCAGCCACCGCA